AAGCATTTAAGACTATACAATTGTGATACTAACAGCCAATCAATGACTACGCTCTCTTAAAAATAACTTCAAAAACTGTTTGTGCATACTCTGTAACGATCTCTTGTTCTTTTCATATCACTTCTCCATAATTTAAACTTGGAATCAGTGCATCAGTATATCTGGTTGTAACGAAAGTTTTCCACCAAAAAAACGCTCTCAAGTTAGCAAATAAACATGAAAGCAGTACCTTTAGTATGGGTAGAAATCACCAAACAAATCTATGATTTCCTGCCAATGTTTTGGTAGTTTCTTAAAACCTTCAGCCCAGGAACTTTATGCACATGAGTCCAAAAACAGATAAATCTAATTTCGAATGTCCTGAGCGGAATGGCAGATAGCACCAGCAAGATATAGCTGCAGGTGTGAAAAAAGATAGAAGAGCGATGTTTAGGCTATATGGTGGTTGTGGCAAAAGATCCCATTCAAGTCTGGCCACAGTCCAGCCAATGAATGCAGGCATGTGTGGTCTTACACTATCTTGATGGAACATTACCTTCGACGGAACTTGGTTTGATGTTTTCCTTGATAGCAGCATCAACACGAACTAGCGTCTGGCTGTACACTTACTGTCGAGGTTTTTACCTTTTTCCAGATACTCTTTGTGGATAATACTTTGAGGATTACAAACTGATATGAACTGAAACTGGAGTAGAGTAACATCAGCTTCTCGAATGTATGGAGAATCAGAGTTGTTTTTTTTTAGCTTGAATGTGGAAGAACATTTGGTTGTTGTGTCTGTCCTTGTATATATTTCATATGCTTTAGTTAAGTATTTGCATGTTTTTCAGAATGACACGTCTTCCTGGATGCATTGAGTGCATGTGAACCCATGCATTAATTTCCAGCGTTTCATTCTCAACAAGTGTATTTCTAACTACTATTACTTACAATCTGTGAGAAAAAATTGGAAATAAGATGGATTTGCTTGTTTGCATCTTATTTCCAATTTTTTCTCTCCGATGTTAAGTAATAATACAGAGGCTGTTCGCACATTTTTTAGACAGTTTTGGTAAGCGGTAATAAAAAATCATTTGCTGCAAAAGAAGTAACTGCAATTGTACTATGTTTTTAAAAATCAAAATTATCGTCTGTGTCTTGAAAGTTTTGTTTTTATTCAAAATGGTGAATTTAACAAAGCAGTGGTTTGAAGGCTACACTTAAGCTCTTTCCGAAGAGAAATATGCATACTCTGTTATCCAAAAACGTGGTGAGAGTCATGGTTTGTGATATCTAAAGCGTCGCTAGTAATATCTCAACAAGAAGGAAAAAAACGTTAAATTGGAGCCTCAATTGGGACCAAAAATTCCACAACAGGAAAAACACATCTCGCCTATTCCAAAGGTAGTTGTTTAATTTAAAAGAAATCCCTATCAAGGACGTTGCAATATTAAATGCTCGTTCCACTGTAAGAAAATGATAATGTTGTTTAAATCTTAAGAAAGTGAAAAAACGCTGTGCATCATCTTCTTCAAAGCTATCGCTCAACGCAGGACACGCTGCAGAATTATATATGAGAAACACTATCAAAAAAATGGAAAAAATTGTCACAATAATGAATCATGGTGTATTTTAAAGATGTAACAAAAAAGAGCCATTATTATCATAAAATGGAGAAAAAATAAGTACATGGTTCAAGATCGAAAGAAGTTTTCTAGGAGTCAGATGTTGCTGGTTTTTTATATGCAAGTTCAAATAAAGAGAGTGCAAAAAAAGTCAGATTATCAATACTATCAGGAAACATATTTTATCGCCCTTTTTTCTGATGAATACCATCGCTTTACCCACGTCCATCGTCTTGAAAACCCATCAGGACAAAGCTAGCAGTCAACACATCAAAACCACTGTAATTTCCTAAAAGAAATGGAACAAAAAGCGGTATCAAGCTCCCTTCTGATTCCCAATTAAATCTCCGAGTGTCACTATGGATTTTGTGCTTCGGACTTTTAAAAACTGCATATCCAACGATGCCCAAACCTAACAGGACTCTGAAAGCTGTTCAGGATGAATGGGATAGAATACCTCTTACATTCAAAAGGATATTATTCCTGGACTTGCGGTGTCGAAAGATCAGGGGTGTTGTGGGACCCAAAAAATCCTCTGAACGTTTACGGACTTGCTACCGATTTTGAAGTTTCGAGAAGGGGGGGAGAGAAAGGAAAAAATTACAATTATGAAGTAGTGAATGACCCTAATTATAAAAGTTCAATAATTATTTTTTTTGCAAAATTATAACATAAATTTTCACATATAAACTACTCATTTTATGTAATATTTTAAATACCTGAATTAATTCTTTAAAAAAATATTAATTTCTGCTCGTTTTTTTTTTTTTTTTTTCTGATATTGGGTTCTCTTTCTTTTGTGGTGAACTTCTAATTTCAGGAAGGTTGACTTTTTTTTCCTTTACAGTTGAAGAATTTCTCGATACTGCACATCAGAGGTAGAAGCATTTTGCTTTCTGCTATGTAGAAGGTTTTCAGAGACATTATGGTGATCATCTGAAATAATGTTTTTAGTCCTCTGATATGTTTTCCACTTCTGTTATATCAGTAAGAGATCTTTGGAATTGGATCAGTCATTGCATTTTTTTAGCCATTTTTCACATGAGGTTCTTTAGAAGCCATTATCTATTTAAAGTCTGCCCTGCATCTAGGGAATCAATCTAGAAGGTTCTATAGTCGTGACAGTGTATCCATTAAGTTGAATGCCTTTCCATATGGACCATGGCAGCAGCTAAGGCAGGCTTTGATCAATTTAGCCAATGTCGGATACTTATATCATTTGTGAAATCACTTTTAAATTAACTTTAGACCAATTTATCAATTGTACACTTGATTGATTTCCACTTTATCAGATGGTAGAGCATTTCTTTGTGATATCAATATCACTGGATAACCTTATTTCAGCTTCTCTTTTGACTTTTCATTATCACTAAAAATATGGGACATAAAAGATATTTTCAAAGCTAATTTGTACTTGTTTACCTTTTAGCTCTGGATCTAATGCTGTAAAACTATTAGATATGAATTTTTAAGGGGTAATTTCTGTTTCATATGCTGTGCTGTATTAGTATAGCTTTCATCAGAGAAATTTGGAATTTTTGCGATTGATGATTTTTGATAATTTCTCGGGAAAGTGGAAGCTTCTGCACCAGTAATATTACTTTGCTAGGTGATTGAATTCTGGATTGTGACATCAACCTTTAATAAATCATTATAAGATGTGCACTCTATATACTCTATATTTTCTGGCTTCATAAAAAAGATTAAATTTTTCCATCAATTTATAAATACTGGAATGTATTAAATGAAGCATTGGTTTTTTTGTTCAAATAATTAATAATGTGTTGAACTCTGGAAACTGCTAATATATCCATATGCAATAAAGTTTGTTTTGCATAACACCCATTATTAAGTTTTTTTTTTTCCGAGCTAATCATCCTTTGTGATTGTTGGGAATGCAGCACGAATACACCCCGTCAACAATTTTTTTCTGAGCTGCAGAAATGTTTTTTTTATGTAACATTTCAAACTAAGAAAAAATAATCCCCTTTATCAGTTTTATCCAATTAGTGAAAATAAAATGCAATAAGAGCATCCCACGATCTTGCTTCTTTCTAAACACATAAATGAAACCCACCTATGGTCTGGTTCTCAGGGCTTAAGTTTTTTCATGGCAAGGGATTCACAGATTTTGAAAAAATTTCTCTTTACTGCAGCTTTTCATATCAAATAGATGTCATCAAACAAATTTCTAAGTATCTATCAAACATCTAGCAATTTTTTTGCATATTATTAGCTTTGTGATATTGTCACCACATATCTAATAGTGGGGTGCTTTGTTTGATCGGAGTCTGGTGGTTCCACGCCCTTTTTTTTTTCCACCATGGTGTTCACTAGTCCATTATGCACTATTAAGTTTGCCCATGAATATTATTATCTCATAGTATTACAACTCTTTAAAAACTTCTGAATTGCAAGATTCCTTTAGAGATGCAATGATGAACTACAACTTCATTTTGATTGTTGTCATAAAACTGCACCAATATTGCCAGTATACTTTCTGGACATTGCTAGTACTTTCATCCAATTTAGAGAAAATGGAGTCTCCTTTAAAGTTTTAATATTTTCCTTAATAGTTTTTGCGAGCCCATATTTCATCTTATAACATGCAGTAGTCCTGGACATTCCACGAGTTTAGTGCCGTCTGATCGCAGCTCAACTGTTTGCAGAGTTCAATTAAATTGGAGCTACATTGAAAGAAAGAGAATTCTCGGCGATAAACGAAGTTATTAATACCTCTTGGCGTGCTTTTCTTGTCACTATATCCAATGGCCAAGCATCAGTCTCCAGTAAGTCATCAGTATTTTTTGAATTAGCATAATTACTTAAAGTCATTGAATGTCTAATGCACTTTTTGAATATTTTATGTGCGTCGCAGTTAAATTCCCCGGAATTCCGAGGTTTCCTTGGAGCACAAACACCCCTGAAAGATAGTTAGAATAAGGGATGTCAATTAGAACATTTAAAACACAAGAATTTTATGTAATTTAGTTTTGTGAATACAATATACATCATCTAAAAAATGTGTGGACAGCCTCTGTCTCTTAGAAATACACTGATAAGATGGATTTAGTTGTTTGCATCTTCTTTCAGCATTTAAATATCTAAATAGGATACATAAATAGAGAAATTTCTCATAAATCTATTTCAGCTTGTCAAATACATTTTAATTTAGTATGTGTTGAGAAAAAGTGAATTTACATTTGACTTTAAGAAAAAAATGGAAAAATAACATTTTATAATTTAAAAATTCAGTTAAGAAGTTTAAAACCGTTTGAACGTTCCCATACTAAACCAGGCACCTGAAATATTTTAGAATATTATGATTAACATAGTATACCTAAAAATGTATATAAAAAAAATAAATAAAATACATTGCAGGAATAAGTTAATTACCAATGTCTGTTGAGCCCGTGGCTTACCACTAGGAAAAAGTAAAGTACAGGCAGCTTCACTTATATTACTAAATTCCTAGAAAGAAAGAAAGCATTTATAAAGTTAAAATACAACATGTACAGAATATAATAAAAACTTAAATTTTTAGAGCCAGTTTTGCCCAATTATAACTCATTCATAAAGTCATAAATTTTATCAACAGGCCAGGTTAAATTTTTTGACACTATAAGAATCAATAAAGTCATTCACATTTTCAAAAGCATTAAATAGCAATACCCAGAATATTTATCACATATGTGGCCTGGAAAATGTTGCCACTGCAAGTGATGTAAGACTTTTAACATCCATATGCCGAATAACAGTAGCCCTTAGTAACAATTGCACTACTGGGAATGAATTAAAGATAGTTCTGCATTACTTCCCCCCCAAAAAAAAGTTATTATATTCAGTTACACGACAGGAAATAATTTTATTTTTGGTACAACTCTGATATACGCCCTAATTTCACCAAATGTGGGCGATATGTGTTCTGAGATGGTTTTTGGCATGATTGCGTGTTGTATGGCAACCCTGTTGACGTTGAAAAATCTTTCGCTGGAGTTCGTTGGTTCCCATCATGCTTTGTGTCTGAGAAGCTAGGGGGAAAAGATTTAATGGTGAAAGTTGTTGAATTGAAGTTCGGTATAAGGAAATATCGTCGTGGCGATCCTGTTGAGGGGACAATGGGTATTTGGAGGTGTAGAAAGAAGGTATGGAAGATTATTTTTAGTGGCTGTGCGTGATAGAAGTATGGGTTTGTGATTATTTGTTATTTTATTTATTTGTGAACCATAGTATGAATTTTCTGGATAGTGTGTCTGGCTGTCATATACATACGATAGTGATTACATGGCGGTATGTTAAAGGCGGCATGAAATTGGTATTTCTGTTGTTCGAAAAAGCATTAATGGTAAGTGCATTTATTTTATTCTTGTTCTTATTTTGTAGAATGTATGTTCATTTTTTTTAGTATGAATTTCTGTCGTTATTGTTGTTTTTTTTAATTGTTGAAATTTATTTTAGTTTTTTGTTGATTAGTGCGTACCCATCTAAATCGTGCAATTCGTAGATGTTTTTAAAGTTGAAACAGAACGCTGTGTACATGGTATTCTTTGAAATTTATTGTTGTTATGTTAATTTATTAAAGCGAGGTGTGCATAGTTCGTAAATTCGTTCGTTGGCAAGATGGTGCCATTCCTAGATGTTTTTTAAGTTAAAACATATCGCTGTGTACATGGACTCTTGTCAAATAATTTTGGTTACAAACTTCACGGTTTTGCTATCTAAATTTTTTGTTTTTGTTTCGTATTTTTAGCTTATACTGTGTGTTCAAAACGTGGTTTTTGCATTCGCGAAAACCGTGTTTTTGGAGACATTTTAGGCTTAACCCCTTCGAGCCGGGTAGCGAAAACGCGCGCTTATCGCGGAAGCCGGCAGTGTCTTCCGCGAGCGTCTCTCCAGGGCCGGGGGGTTTTTTGCTACTGAGCCTAAATCCATGAAATTTCCGAAGTATCAACGCATTGTTAATAATGCTCTATAGAGTATTTAAATGGCTTATGCTTTATAGATATTTTATATATAATATACTTTAATTACCTTATTTCTTTGTTTAATGCATATTTTACACATTTTATTTTAATTACTCACCATTTTATGACTTTTAACATTATACATCTGAAAACTAAATATATTACTTAAAATTCTCTTTTCGATTGAACAATTTGAAAACAGGGATCTACACACAGTCCTACATTACATTCCTTGAACTCGTAATAACTCATTGCCGTTTTGGAGGATTTTTCCGGGAATGTGAACAAACGAAGCATCGTCGTCTCATTTTCTTATCAGTCTCTTCTGAACAAAGTTTTGGAAAATGTCTTTCAGTTAATCTTTCAGAATCAATATCAGAATATTAGAATTTCAGAATCAATATCTGAAATATTTTGCATCATTTCTGCTATTTCATGCTCTGTTAAACATTTTCGACGCTTCGACATTGCAACGGTAAAAACAGAAAGAACTCACGTCTAACAAGATCTAATTATTTTCTAAAAACTGAACTGTAAAATAAAATACTCAACGCTTTAGCGCATATAAAACTTCTACTTACAATAAACAACTACCACGTGTGAATAAAGTGCGATTTAAAGAGACGTCATAAATCACACTATTCGGAAACATTTAGTTCCCCATTTGTTTATATAATCAAAAACACGTGTATGTGAGTCATGCTTCTCTCATTTCGAGTAGAAGGTCTAATGTACATGTATCTGAAGCCATATGGACATACAGTGCCATCTTGTGGCAGAAATTGTTTCTAAAACGTTCCAGGGTACTGGCACAAATACGTGACAGTCAGTAGTAAACGGGAAAATGCTCTGGCACGTCTGCGTGTCGGCCGGTAGGTGAGTGTGTTCGTTGCTGGCACGTAGAGTCGGCGTGAAGGGGTTAAAGTTCGAAATGTAGACAAAAAATTTAGATAGCAATATGGCAGCGTGGAGTTTCTCGCCAAAAATATTTGGCGAGAAATTTGGCGCCTTGAGGGCGCATATCAGAGTAGTTCCTTATATTTCGACAATACTGAATTCTATCATGCGCTCCAGACTTTACTTCCCAATTCATGAATGAAACATATCTTACAAAGAGTTGTTTCAGAAGCTAAGGAATGTTATGCTACCCATTTTAATAATGTGTTTGCAATATACAATGCATGTCTTGCGTTAGTTTTCAAGAAACAAACACAGTATAAGTCTTTTCCTTTATTAAATTTAAAATGAAATTAATAAATACATGGATATTATTCAACATGAACTTTTCAGATTGATAACAACAGTTTTCCATACTTCCTTCAATTAGTTTAACAAGATTCATAGTATTTGAATCTTAAATTAAAAATAACCATTACCATCTTCCTCCTGTCTTTGAAATGCTTATATGATATGAAAACTTATACGATATGCACACAATAGCCAATCATCACAGTAAACTTGGTAATCATTGCAGTTTTCATAATTAGGTGAATGTTCAATTACTGCTCATTCTAATTTTACATTTCAATAGTTAGTACAGTCAAAAGTCGTTAATCCGGACTCGTCGGGACTTCGGCGATTCCGGATTATCGATTTTTCCGGATTATAGATCATCAGTTTAAATCTCGTAAGATGGCATGCACAAATTCTAAAATTAAAAATATGAAACCGTATTTTAGGAAATAAAGAACAATTATGATCTAAAAGGGTATCAAAGTTTACAAAAAAAGAAGCTTAATATTTATTTGTTTACTTTATTAAACATTTCTTTCAATGTAAGTTGTTTCGTTTTATGTGATAATACTTTCTCTTTAATTCTATAAACAGACATAATTTCTTGTTCAGTTAAAAGCTCCGCTGTTCAAGTCCTGTAATTGCTGTGCCGAGAATACCGACTAACTTGTCAATCGAAATTTTTTCGTTTTCACTAACCTCTCTGTCACCTTCTTCATGTCTTTATCCATTTTTTGCAGCAATTCCACTTTTTGTTTGACGGACATCGAACATACTTTCGTTTTGTAGATCCTTTGGGAGCTCCATAATCGGAAATTTGACATAATCGAAAGTTCAAGTTTACTTTTATAAAATTGCTCTTACAGTCTGCAAAAAATAATAAGCTGCATCCAATTCGAAGATTAAGGAACTCGCATCATTAACATTAACTGAAATAGATAATTGTATAATTTTAGCTTATACCGTCTGTTATACGTTAAACGTGCACGCGAAAACGTATTCTGCACTTGCGCACACGCATATGCGCGTAAAGGTCTTACGCGCACGCGTAAACGCCTGTGCGCATGTGTCAACGTGCCGCATGCGCAGAAAGTTTTTAGCTTTGAGGTCCGGATTATGGGTGTCCGAATTAACGACTTTTAACTGTAATACTTCATTTTACATTTCTCAGAAGATATTTATCATTAACATTTATTTCAGCAATAACATTTCTGTACTGAATGTTGATTGCTTAATTTTAACATAAAAGGCTACATTGTGATTACTCCACATTTCATACCACACTGCTAATCTCAATATTTGTTAACATGTTATGTGACTTTCATTTTGACCATACATTTTATTATATTAAAAGAACTGAAATATTTTTATGTACTACTTGTTAACAGCTAAGTTGTATTGTTTTTAATGAAAGGAATATATATTATTATGGTGAGGAAATTCTATTGTTTTACAATAATTATTCTCAACAACTTAAAAATGAATAGACAAATTAATTTAAATAAATAATTTTAAAATGACTGAATTTAGTACAAATCCAGGATGTTTCAGAATATATGGAAAACATTAGAATATAAAGAACCATCTTTCATTTGATAAACAACATAATTTAGCACAATGAAACTTCAAGGCTGTTACTTATTGTCAAAGAGAAAATTAATTATATGATATAAATTCCAAAATAAATTTAATAGCAAAATCAGGACACATGATGAGAGAAAAGTATTTATTAAATGCTATCGCAACATTATTAAAAAAAACATGCTATCAATTTAGCAAACTTAACAGAGAAAAGATAAACCTTTATAAATTTTGATATAAGAAAACCTATATAAACTAACACCCCAAAAAAATTTTAGAACAACACATTACATTACAAACTTTTTTTAAAAAATATTTGAAAAATAATACACATTAAATTTTTGGGGTACTGTCTGAATATCTACAGCCCCAACCAAAAAGTTGCAAATCCGTTGGCAACTTCGGACAGTATTTGCAAAGTCATTTCTGAGTTTCGAGAATATATTTGTTTTGGTTATCTTTACATCTATTTCAATGATGCATCTGTGCCAGTCATTTTTTTTTTTTTACATTCTTTTTTGCAGTCAATTTTCTTTACAATTGTTCTCCCTACATGTACAGCAATCTGATTAACAGAGAAAAGATAAACCTTTATAAATTATGATATAAGAAAACCTATATGAACTAACACCCCAAAAAAATTTTAGAACAACACACTACATTACAAAATTTTTTTAAAAAATATTTGGAAAATAATACACATTAAATTTTGGGGGGTACTGTCTGAATATCTACAGCCCCCAACCAAAAAGTTGCAAATCTGTTGGCAACTTCGAACAGTATTTGTTGATGTTAATTGTGTAACTAAGTCATTTGTGAGTTTGGAGAATATATTTGTTTTGGTTATCTTTACATCTATTTCAATGATGCATCTGTGCCAGTCATTTTTTTTTTTTTTTTTTTTTTTTTTTTTTTTTACATTCTTTTTTGCTGTCAATTTCTTTTTACAATTGTTCTCCCTACATGTACAGCAATCTGATTTTGCTAACAAAAAAGATCAGAGAATTGCATAAACTTAGCATTGTGTATAAACTCAACACAAAACCCTAAAACAAGAAGGAAAAAAACAGCCATTATGCTCTATGTGTACTGAAAGCTAAGACAGAGATTTTGCCAAAGATAAAGAAAAATGCAGTGTATGTAGTCTACCACTAAATATTGAGATTCCTATAAGATCATACATAATCTGCAGTTACATTTGCAAAAATGTCCACAGAAGTGGGAAGCTGTCTAGGAAGATGCACACACATACATGGATTGCCCAAAAAGATTTTTTGTTTGTGACATGATACACAGCCTCATCAATACTTTTTACCACTTTCTGGGTGATAATCAGAAATCTGCAAATAAACAGCGTACCAAATTTTCTTTGGCAGACAGACAAGGACTACAGCTAAATGACTATATCTGGAATCACTAAAAAAGAAATTATTAATCTTCCAAAGTTAATCTTTGAATATCTAACTCACAGATGGCCATGTTTGATGTTAATAAACACTAATGCTAGATTTCAGGCATCTTCCTCTCAACCATTTTCAAAACAAAAACCACCACCAAACAGTACGATTTAGCACAAATAAAAAAAAACTACATAAATATCTGATATTCTTGGTTTTGTATTAAAAAACAAGTGCATACAACTCATAATACACATATTTTTAATTTTTTACAGGTTAGAGTAGATTAAAGGGTACCCATTTGATTATTGCTAAGTTGTTTCATTTATGGTAACCTGAGTAGTTGAATGCTATGGAAACCCTATCATGACGTAATTGGTTGCATGATTGTGGTGAATTTGAATGATGAGATGAATTTTGGTACATTGTTATTTTGAGGTTTACGCGGTAAAATGGCTCAATGTTGTAAGACTAGTTTGAAGTTTCTATATGATTTAGAACGAAAGAGGAAAAAGCATTAATTAACTGGTGTGTAAATGAAGGTTTACTTAGTTGCCACCACAAGTGTCCTGTTTGTAGGAGGGAAATGTGCATGGTCAAATATCAGAGGTTTGGACACTTATTTTTGTGAATTTATATGGCGACGCCATACAGATTCTAGTTCAGACGGGGAAATTTTAAGTTTTTGGACGTTAAGGAATTTGTTTTGAAGACTGGGAAATTTCTAAAGGTAAGGTGGAACTTTATTTAGTGATTGTTTGAAAAATGTAGTTTAGTTAGATTATATATTATATAAGGCTGCTTGCCTTGACTTTTTAAGTGAATATAGATCGATATGTACATGGACAAAGTAAAGGGAAGTGCGTAAAAGTAATTATCTTAATTAGAATGGAAAAAGCTTCTTTACCTGAATAAATGTTAATATACTAATTTGTAAAATAAAGCTAGCAATTTTTATTTACTCTAAGGCAATACAACTAATAAACTTACCTCAAAAGAATAAAAACAAGTGTTATGGGACAGTATGTTTATTTAATGTCAGCTTCTCTAGATGTTTTACATTAAAATAATAATAAATTAGCTTTAAACATTAAACTTATATTAAAACCAATACAGAGCATTAAATTAATATATTATTGTATTAAATAAAATATGAATCACCAAATAAATCCCCCCAGGAAGACATTAAACGTTCTGTTGGTATAATTTGTTATCAATATATTTGGCTTTCCTGTTGTACCAATGGCCAGCATTTGTCCCTAATAGCACTGAAAGAGGAGTAATTAAAAAAATAAATAAATAAATAAATAAATAAATAAATAAATAATTATTCATCTTCTGTTCATTACTTTTGATAATTATAACAACACACACTTGAAATTTTCTTTTCCAATTTTTGTATGCATAGCATAGTTTAAATATACTAATTACTGAATGCTAAAAAAAGGTATATTTCAGTGACATAAATTTCCAACTGCAATTAATTGAAAACTATGATTTAATATAAGGGATAAAATACTAAATTTTTTTAGCTACATAATAGTTTTAGTCCTTCACAAAGATTATCATCCTAAGATATCTTCGTTAAAATAAACAACATAAACTAAATTATAACATCTGCTGTTCTTTTTAATAATACATACTGATATACACTAAGAAACGCTTATCACCACATGGTAATGTTTTAAGTACAACCTTATTTAGCATTAATTTCAACAAAAGACTCTTTGCATTTCCAGAAATAGCAAACTAATTTAATAAATATCATGCCACTTTCTCTCAAAATGCAAATGGCCTTTTCAGTGAAATTTATAAAGATTATAGTTCACCGGTTATATGAAGAGTAAGATATTTTTATTCAATTCCTTCATACTACAATAATTTATTATGAAATTTTGTGTATAGCTCTACTAATGTGCTGCATCAATTAATAATAATAATTACAATATTAATTATTATTAATTGATGTGCTGCATCAATTAATAATAATAATAATTTGGAATAATTATTAAATTTCCTCAATGATGCAAAAACGTGAACTTATGCTTTCAGAAAATTCTTTTACAAGCAGCAGCTGCAGTTCACTCACACATGGATCTTAAAAAATTTCAAACATTTTTCTATACCTTTATAATAATACTTGTAGAAAATTACGAGTGGAACTTAAGCTTTTATATTTATAAAATAACATACTTAATTCTAGGAGTTCATATCAGAATGTTTACAAAATTAATAGAACATCTTAAGAGCAGTAAGCATATTGTAGAATGTAACTTATTTAATACTCACTTGAACAGCAAATGAAGTATTATTGTGTTTCTCTGGAAAATATTGTAAGGCTAGCACCTTATACCGCAGGAGGATGTCACGTCTGGTAGCAACTAGCAGAAATAAAAGGAAAGGGAAACTTAAAAGTGATACTGTCTGCGAATAAACCGCTTATGTGCAATTCACTAAAATACTATTTCAAATGATCTTACAAGTTGGTAATCCTAAAATCTGCAATGCTACGTCTTTAGAAAATGGCATAGCTGAAAAGTTTGTCACATTTTCTGTCACACTTCAATATGTTTCCCGCAATCATCAACACTCACATTTGACAAGCGAAACGTGTAACCTGCAGCATCGAGTCGTTCGTTTATGCACCGGAAAAGACAATTCGAAAAGAACAACAACAAAAAAAATGGCATCAGCGTCTTTTGATTCGTTACTTAACCTAAGCTTGAAGAAAACAAGTTAAATAAGAAATAATTTTTTAACAATTTTGAAAAAACACTAATTGTAGGATGTGATTACTTAGACTATGTTTTTATTGAGAAGGTTTTAAAAGTAACATTTCAGGAATTTTTAAATAAACTCGAAAGTGCAGAAATTCTAATTTTCAAAAACACTTGGCCTTATATAAGTAATCAAAACTAAAGATCTACAATGAGAGACACCGAATGAAGATCTGCAGAAAGAAACTAAATATTCACGAAATCTGTTGAGTAATCTGAAATTCAAAAATCTGTTCATTGATGTCTTGAATATCTTCATAAGTGGATGAATCCATTTAAAGAGTTTCCTTGTTCAAAATGAATTGAAATTAACAGCTTCTCACAAACAGAAACTTGATGATTCATCGCACATATGAAGCGTAAAGAGATCGACAGTGGTAACAGTTTGACTAAAACTGCACACTAAAACAATTCTCAGCTACGTACAAGAATAAAAAAAAAACTAACTTTGTGAAAAGAAAGAAGAAAGTGAATGGACAGAGAAGGAAAACTTTTCATCATTTCATTTACTCAGCATTTCGTTCGAGCTTGTTATTCTAACATTTAAATGAAAATCAGATTTATAGGGAAATAGGGAAATATTTATGAACTTTTTCAACAATTATTAATCTAAATTTGTTAGTACAGTTAAAATTTGATTAATAAGGGAAGTTCATTGTTGTAGATTTTGTGTAAGTATTCCTTGAGAGACTTATAATTTGCAATAGGCAATTTGATTTTTGATTTTTGTAATAGTTTTATTCCTTGAGAAATCTGAAAATTTTAAATTGCAGATTTAAAATTATTCAATCGAACAATTCCAGAACAAATTCAAGAATTTCGAAAATAAGGATTTCCGACGAGAAAAATACCTTGATTTAGTTTTTAAGGAGTTTTTCAGAATAAAATTGAATTCGAGAAAATTTTTTAAAGTGAAGAGAGAAATTAGGAATTCGGATGAATTTTTCAAAAAAATAAAAATCTGCATTTCAACGAAGTGAAGACCATAAGGATTCAGCTAGAGCGAGAAGCGGATAAGGGGGAATCCAAGTGCAACGCTCTGGCAATTTGCAAAATTTGCCTGGTAAGCCAAAAGTCCCTGGTAAGCCTAAAGAAAGCCTCTGATAAGCCAAACCTACCATCACCTGGTAAATCCAACAAGTCAAAAACTCTGGCAATTAAAATATAAATTAAAATGTCCTCCTTGTTTCAAATAACTGAAACTTCAAAACTTCTCATGTACAGGAAATGGATCATATAGAAACTGTAAAGTTGAAAGAAAAGGTAAAAAACTAAGGAATGAGGATATTTTAACAAATCCTTCAATTTAATGTAGTTCGCAATAACTAAAAAGAATGAAAAAATTTAGTCAGTTTCCTTTCATTAAAAAATAAGTCTTATCTTTCAAATCTCCCAAAAGTAAGGGTGTCCTTTCGATCCTTCAAAAATTACACAATTCTTTGCCCTTCCTGCTCATAATGTGAATGTGGGAAGATTATTTAAAGCAATGTATGCAAGTTATCTAAGTTAAAATGTCGGTTATACATCTTTCTCCTTTATATACCTTTTCTGAATGGAACATTGATAGGCGCGTTAACTGTGCTTTACTGTATTTTCTCTTTTAATATATTTAGTTTTCAGATGCATTGTAGCTTGGGCCACAAAGTATTCTTCCGAAAGAAACGCAATTCTAATAAATAAAATAAAATTCTGGAAAATTTATATTAGTAAATATATTTAAAATGCTCATTTCGAATGAATAAATAGAAAATCTGAAGAGACAATGCAACACAAGCAATTAAAATAAAAGTCTAAAAATTTAAAAATTATCTAAAATAATAAATGTGACAAAAAAAATTATAAGGAAAACTATTTGAAAAAAAATAAACGATGCACCTTATATTTAAACTACGCAGTTCGAATGGTAAATAGAAATTTTTAAAAAAAGTTATTCGAAAGAAACCATGAAACTTAAACAATTAAAATGAAATTCGAAAAAGAAAAAAAAAATATTTAAAATAATAACATAAAAATATAATATAAAGAACATTATTTGAAAGAAAGAACGTTGTGATTTTTTTCCCTCTCATGGGAAAGGAAAATAGGTTGCCATATATTAAGAAGTTTGCCAAGTGAACTAGGCGCAAACTGAAAAAAAAGCGGCTACATAAATTTATGAATTTCTCCTTAAATTTCGCACCAAATTTTACAAAATTTCATATTTGGGCATAATTCGAGTCGCAGAATCGAAATATGGAAAAACATTGGTATGTTATTTCAGAAAAAGTTCGATTTCGTGTCAAAATAACTATGTTAGGATGGAGCTATATATAAATCTAATATATATCCTAAGTCGCGCTTTCGAGACATAAGGAACGCAATTTGAATTTCGTCAATCGGCCCAGTAAAACGGGAGATATAGGATGTCCCACTTTTTTTTCTTTCCCGCAGTGTACATGATACTTTAATAGAAATGGTTGTTTCGCCTTATTAGCTGACTAAAATAACGCCACTTTGGGCTCCTCACTGTTAAACAACCGTGAACTTACTAGATTACCCATTTGGGAAAATCAGTAATGGGATGTAAAAGAGGGTAGCCTTTGCCACATGATATCGTAGGTCCAAAGAAAAGAGATAAGAGCAAGCGTTGAGACTGTATCAGGGAAGCCCCATAATAACGTGAAACCACGCCACAGCTAGTGAGAATGAGGAATCCGATGTATAGAATATAAATAATCCAAACTTACAATTCAAACTAAAGTGCAAATACATATCAGAGAATCTGATGAACATAAGGCAATACCTTCTATGTGCAAACACAATATGCAAAATTAAAAAAAAACAAAAAAAACAATGAAAATGTAAAATGAGAATCATACACTGGGTAGGTAATAATTACATACAAAATAATTACAACACCATAACAGTTTAGGTAACGAAGTTGTGATTACGCAGAAGATGGAACATAAATAGACTCAAGAATTTGTTCTCTGGTAGAGTAACGTAGTTCGCGTAAAGTTACTGAGTAAACATTCTAAGGCAGGAGCTCTCAACGTTTTTTGTTCCCTGCATCCCTGGAACCACTGTAGAAGATCATTCTCCCTCCGTTCTAAAACTCTATATTTCTATTTTCCTAAACTCTAGATTCCTATAATCTAGAATTAGACGATTTTTCAACGTGTTTTATAAATTAAAAAACAAGGAGTGTAGAAAATGTCGATAAATACCAAACCTTCCAAAAAAAAAAAAAAAAAAAAAAAAAAAAAAAAAAAAAAAGTAGATTTTTATATTCATAAATCAAAACTAAATAATTAACAGTTAAATGCAAAGCTGACCGAATTCTCTCCCTGAAACTATGAAATTCCCCCCAAGGGGGCGAATTTTTCCCTATTTGAGATTTCCTAATCTAAAGCTTTGCAGAGTTTATAGTTGCATCGGTGAATACAGATTTTATAGGCTGAATTTTAAGGTCTCTGTGCAAAAGTTTGTTTCTCGTTAAAAAATATGAACCACTTTATAATTCTGAGTGCTTTATTTTGTACCACCTGAAGGAGACCGAAATCAATGTCCGTGGCCAGGCGGAAAGGAATAGCACAAAATGCGTCTTATAATTCTAATTATTCTGCACTTCCGTTTGAGTTGAATATCTCCGAGCAAAAGCATCAGATGCTTTAAAAGGCCATTAGTTCTTCCTATGACATTATTTGTATACTGTAACCAGGTGAGCCGATGATTAATAGTAACTCTTAGATAGTTGACTGTTGAGCACAGGCACTGAGTCCCAGAAAAGAGATTTGGTTGGAAAGCGAATTTTCTCTCTTAGAACAATAATGAGCTGAGACTTTCAGCCGTTAATGCATATTCTCCACATCCTGTACGAGTCCTTAGTGTTGAACACATAATCTTGCCGGTTGGCAAGTGCATTATTGGGTTGCAATGAATTAATATCTACCGCTGTATCACTGACATAGCAAACAAGCAGGGAAATTTGATTCAGCTTCCGACAAGGAAAGTCCGTCTTATAAAATAGGTATAGGAACGGCTCTAGATACGAACTTTGCAGAACTCTTTCATCAACTCTGCCCCCGGAGGGACTAAAATACTCCTCTTTTCCAAATACTTAAAAGTTCTGTTGCTGAGAAAGGAGTCAATTAGAAAAATACGTTTTCTTCGAAATGAGAATTACATAAACTTGTATATTTACCAGCTATACTCGACATGGTCGAATACTTTCGCCATGTTCAGCATAAGAAGAATCGTGCTTCTTTTTATGAAGCACCTATGATGAATTCTACAATTCTAAAAAGTTTTTTTCTTTTTTTTTTCTTTTTTTTTTTTTTTTTTTTTTTTTTTTTTTTGGTTGAGAGATTCTTCTGGAACCCGCATTGCTCATTAGGGAGAATACGGAAGTTCGATATCGTGTCTAAAACACAAGTTTTAATGAAATATTTTGGAAATGTGTTCGTTCTTTCAGGGATCAGGCTAGAAAACTGGAAACCCAGGACAGAACTTCTTACAGAGTTCTTCCCCTTCTATTTCTTTCAACGTATTATTGATGCGAATGATGAAATGTATTTCATTAAATAACCCGATAATTCATTATTTTTCGATTTAATCCATGTAAAAAAAATGTGCATTTCAACATATTTGTAAATTTTGTTCGTGTTTTTATTGCGCAAAGTATAAGTTAATGCCTTTTAATCAATATACATTTTTCGCAAAGAAATTAGAAAAAAAAAAAAATAGCCTGAAATTTTTATTGAGTTTATTATCAAAATTATTGAGCATGTCATAGATAAATAAAAATCATAAGCAAATCTTTGTGCATTGGAAACCTCGATCTTAATTCCAGCTTTTGCAATTTCAGTGACCGTGCTGCTGGTTCATGTTACAATGCCATTTGC